TTTTTTTAACATTTCTAAGACTTTATAGAGTTGAGAAGCCAGAGGTTAGGACAGACTCATTTCGCAGGACTTCTGACTTGTAAGTTGTTCTCTCATTGTTTCCATGGCTCTTGTGAGAAAGGAGGATGGAGGGTCTGCTGCCCTTTCTGTGGCGTAGTTACAAGTGCTTTGGGGTGCTTTTTTGTTTTGTTTGTTTTTCTTTTCTGTTTGTTGACAGTCTTTTAATATGGATTTCTGGTTTGGCAGGATGTTTGTTAACTGGAAACCATTTCAAACTTCTGTCAGTAAGATTTGTTGTGATACGGATGGCCTTTTCTTTTCCTAAAATAATAGAAGCTTTTTAAAAAAGAATTGTGTAAAGAGAGAAGCATATTTTGTTTGGCTTCACCAAAATGCCCCCCGGCTCCGGGCAGCCCAGCGCTCCTGCCTGAGACCAGGCCCAGAGCAGGGAGAGGGGAGAGGGTTGCAAAGTGAGATTTCAGTTGGGGTCCGTGCATTCCTTTCCTTGTGACTATTGTGGGTCGTCGTTGGCCCAGCACCGGGCGGCTTGAGGGAATTTCCTTAATGAAACTCAGCAGTAGGAGGTCTGTGTCCTTCAAATTTGCTTTGCTTGTGGCTAATCTGAAAAAGATGCATTTTTTTTTGAGACCGTTGCTTTTTTTCCTGGAGTCTGTGTTCTCAACATGCTGCTTACCAGGACAGAACTTGTTAGTACACGTCAGATACTTTCATAAACACAGTCGGGCTACTCCAGAATGGAGTCATCAAATGTCTCCCCAATTTTATTTTTAAAAAGGACGAGGTCAGTGTCATTACTGGCTTGAACCAGTTCAGGCAGCCAGTGGGGAAGGGACCCACTTTCCCGGCATAATTGAGTTGTGTGTCAGAAATAGAAACGGCGAGCCTGCACGTGGCACAGCGATTTCTCTACGCTCTCCTCTCGGGTGTGAAGTGGAGTGCGTGTCCCACAGCTCCCCGGTGACCTGCGTGGTCCCCTTATGTGGATAAAGCAGAGACCACGGACACCTGTCGCAGGCTGCACGGCGGGCGGAGCAAAGTCGGAATGCTTGCCCAGGAATCGCTTCTTTTCTAAAAAAAATAAGTATTTTTTAATTGATTTCAGAGGGAGGGAAGGAGAGGGAGGGAGAGATAGAAACATCAATGATGAGAGAGAATCATGGATCAGCTGCCTCCTGCACCCCCCCTCCCCCACTGGAGATCGAGCCCAACCTGGGCATGTGATGGAACCGTGACCTCCTGGTTCATAGGCCAACGCTCAGCCACGGAGCCACGCCGGCCGGGCTGTGCTTCCAGTTTTAGGAAGACCACGTGACCTCGACCACGCCGAGACCTCCGTGGACAGAGAGGATTTGGTTTGTAGCCGAGACCCCTACAAGGTTTAATGCACAAGATTTCATTCTCTCACAGAAAGAAGTTCAGAGAGAGGAAGTAGAGGGCTTTCAGGTGGTTCCTCGAGTTGTGAGAGCCATTCATCTTCATGGCTCCACACGGCTGCTGGGGTTCTAACAACAACATCCTTGTTTCGGGGAGCAGATGGATGAAGGGCAGAAGCAGGGCCTGACCTTGTAAAATCGCCTTGAATAAGAGGTGGGGGTTCCCAGAATAACCATGTGACACTCTCTTTGTATCTCATCGTCCAAACTTAGTGTGGGCCGCACCTGCCTACAGGGAGCCCAGGACGGGGAGCTTCACGGCTTCTCCATCCTTTCGAGCCTTGTCTGTGGACGATAGGCAGAAACACTGCCATCCTCGGAAAAATGTCTCAGAAGTGAAAACTATTACTGTTAGTCATGATAACAGTAACTCATAGGTAAGGGATCACAGGCGCTGTCTTCCGCAATTTATATGAACCATCTGACTTCACCTTCCTTGGATGTGGGTGTTGTTATCCCCATTTCACAGAAAAGAAACTGTGGTTTAAAAGAAGTTACGTTTTGCCCAAGGTTATGTCTCTGGTAAGGGGTGAGCCGTGGCTCAGAGCCTGACTTGCCTTTCTCCAGATCCCAGGCATCCAATCACTGCACTGCCTTCTGCCTCTCAAGTGTTAGCTTGGTCATTCATTCATGTCAGTCCTGGGATGGTGTAGAACCTGCTATCCTATTTGTGGTTTTATAGTCTTTAACTCTTTACCCTTTCCACCCAACACACACACACACACACACACACACACACACACACTCACTCACACACTCACACTCATTTATTTTTCCAAATCCTTAAGTATGTCTATGCTTATGTAAAAGAACGTGACTTTCTATACTTGATTAGTTCATTGTAAGTTGTCTTTCTGTATTTGGGTCAGGAGCCTGCATGTTAGCGTTTTGGGCGATTTAGAGGAACCCTCAGAGCTAGTGGCGATCACAGAGTGAGTAAGGAAGAGCCCTTCCCCCCAGGCATTGACAGTGCGATTCTGTAGAGGATGGGTTTTAGACGAGCCTCGGAACATCCAATTATACTGTGACTCGGCATGTGAATCAGAGCTGCCGTGGGTGTGCACACCCAGGTGTCCTGGTAATTACAGGTGTATCGTGGTTACCTCCAAACGGCCACCCACCCCTTCAAAACATTCCCAAGAAATTAGGTAGAGTAAACAGGCAATTCTATTTTAGTACTCCTTATAGTTTCCCCTTAAGCAACACTACTTATATAATGATTTTGGTAATAGAAGCTGAATCTTAATTCACATAAAGTAGATATGGGGTTAATTATAATACCTACTAGAGGCCCGATGCATGAAATTCGTGCAAGAGTAGGCCTTCTTTCCCCTGGCTGCCGGTACCAGCTTCCTTCTGGCACCTGGGACCCGGGCTTCCCTCGCAGCCCCGGCTTCCTCCAGATGGTTGTCCGGAAGGACATTCAGTCTAATTAGCATATTATGATTTTATTATTATAGATTATTTTGAATGTCCACATGTAAAAACAATTCAGTTCCTATCTTATGAAATTTTGAATAGTGGCAGAAATAATAGACTATTGTATTAGAAATTCGAGTCAGATGGGGCCGGTGGTGACCTTTGACCGAGCCTGCCGATACAAGCCTGTGTAAGGGTTACCCTCGGTGTGTGTTTTCCACAAGGACCAGGGAAGAAAGACGTTCCCCTGACCGGTGAGGAGGAAGAGAGCTTTGCCCAGGGCTGCGAGGCTGGTGACAATGTCTCCTATAAGACTTCCGTTTCTTTATTCTGGTCTTTGCCACCTGGACATCAGCTATCGAGAGGAGGGACGGGCAAGGATTCTCATCTTGCCCCTCTCAGCTTTGTTCTCTAGTGCGTCTACTCCTTGAATTATTTCTTTACAAAGAAGTCCTTTTTTCCTATCTGGGAGCTCCCTGCCTGTGGTTGCCCCCCGTTCCTGGTCACGTGTGTACAGAAGCACATGTGTGTACAGAAGCGCTGCACTCCATCGTGGGAGGGGCTGCTTCTGGAAAGGCATAGATGCAGTCGGCACCAGGGTCTGCCTGGGCCCTTTCATTCCGAGTGTGTAAGCTGCTTCGGTAACCGAGCCCCCTCCGTTCGAGAAGTCGGTTTCTGCTGAAGCTGTTGGCCTGTCTCAGGTGCCCTGACCCGTGGTTAACGAGTGAAGAGTCTTGGGGCTCTCCACACAGTTCCTTTCATCTTGGATGACCTGATTAGCTTTATCTGATCGTGGGAAACATGTTTCCTAATTGTCCTTGAGATCATGGGCTTCGTTATTACCTGGAGTGAATTTCACTTGGAAAACTTATACCACTTGGCTCCTAAAGACAATGATAAGTAGCACTTGGTGTTGATCTTTAGAATTAAACAAACAAACA